ATGTTTGCGTTAATTACTTCCCCTGCGGTCTACCGCTGTTCGCCGCGCGTGTGTTTCCATCAAAACTCGTTTCTTGCTGCGAAATCATTCACGAGAGGCGCAATCGATCGACTCGTTTGTTTATTCTCTTCTTTCATCATTGCGCTAACAAAGCTGTCCCAGTTACGTTGATATATTATTACGCGTTGCGTGCAAAACGATTTCCAATCGTTATTGAACTTTTTTTCCGTTTCTTCCTCGTAAAACAGTTCCGGTGTAAAAGGGAATGGCTGGTCAGATTATTAAAGAAGCATTAGCCTTCGTAATATGAAACCATTTTCCGTTCCATCGATTACCAATGTGGGTACACTGGAAGGCGTGGTACTTCATAAAATTCAGCTTTCCATCAAAAATCCTTCGTACCTCACTAAACCTTTTCTTTCGTTTCCCTTGAAGCGTTGTATATTCAGACATTTTATAGAGTACTATACCAATGAAAGTTCTAGAATTTACGTTTATTGCGTAATATGTTTTTATAACATCTCCTGTTCTTAACAGGGAAGCCTAGGGACACTCTTCTCTTTTAATTTTCCTGAATATTTCAAAATAGCAAAGAATTTTTATGCTGTAGATATTTCAATAGTGTATTTAACCACATTGATTAAGTTAAAAAATAATAATTCTTAAAATAATTTATATTACAATTAAAATGTGCCACTAAATATCCGCTATTGTTGGAACTAGACAATTTTTCTAAATTTTTATTTTTATTTTTTGTAAACAAACAGATTTTTGCTAACTTTTATTTTAACTTTAATTATATTGTATTAAAGCAATCAATTTTTTTAATTAATTATAAAATTTCAATATAATATTATGAAACTTAACAATTTTAAAAACAATTAAACATTTAAAAAAGAAAAAGAAATTTGGTACTTTGATAGATAAAACACCCTCTGTTATTGGCGCTCAAAATAATATTTTATTATAGTCTTTTTTTTTACTATGAACGGTGTAATCTTTTCTGACATTTTTTATTGTTAAGAATAAATACTGCTAGCAACATAAAAAAATTAAACCTTTTCAATATTGAAATAATGGGTAGGGATCAAGTTTCCCAACAGATCAAGTGTCTCCTATATGATCAATATCATCTATCATCTTATAAGCCACATAATCTTATAAATATTTAAATATTTATAGTACCGATATAAAATATTTTACTCTTAATTTTTTAAATGGATGTTGCAAATAAAACAAAAATGGATTCAAGTAAGTTAAAACGCAATTTTTATTTAAAGAGAGTTAGTGATCGCTATGTAGCCAGTTGATATATTTATTGAAGTTATCTGCACACTCTATATAATATATCCTCTCCTTAGGAAAGAAGATTATACCGCGCTCATAGTAAAAGAAGGCCATAATAAAAGCCTAGCTTACAAGAATGTTGAATATTTTAACAAAAACGTAGACACGCGATTCTTAAGTAATTTATATCACTCGCCCGACAATGGTTCAAGCTCCTTCGTTCATAGTGATCATTAATCTCTCTCGTTTTATCCATATTTGTCGCGGAGTTTACCAGCGAATTATGTTCGCTGCGAGGAAGCGCATAACTTCCGTCGACGAGGCGGGGAGAAAGGTTTGTCGCGACGACAAACTTTCGCGTCCATTTATATCTAACTTAAAATTCTCCCCCGGCTCCCTCCTTCCCCCGATATCCTTTGCTTTGCATAAATATAACGCGGCCCTTCTCCGCCCCATGCGCGAGTGACGATCTCGCGAAAAGTTTTGCCGTGCTCGCGCCGTGCCGTCTCTTAGCAACACCACCTCGCGTCCTTCTGTTTTCCGGCATCTCGCGCGTAATTTATAATACATAGAAAAGTGCGCCTCGCGTGTCTCGTGTCGCGACACATGGTCGAGAAAGTATATCCAGGTGTGATTTCCGCTCTACACGAAGCTCGCGGGGTGACGCGCGCGCGCGAGTGTCGACTTTCCTTTCCATTCTCTTTCATCCCTCTTTGTGCGAAATAAACATCTTTCATAATTATTGCCCGCATATTGTCGCCCCAGCTGTTCGCCGAGAGCATTGTTCGACGAAAGTCACTCTCTTCCTGAACCCGAGCACCTTTCCTCCCTTTGACTACTCAGCCATCTCGTCGTGGTCTCTGAAAGTGTTTTCTTGTTTTGCCACGGTGAAAGAGGGAAGGCATCTAAATAAGATCCTTACGCTCGCGCTCTCTGAGATCTTCGCATTACTTCGTGTTCTTTCCCGTGTCACGTCAGACATTCCGAAAGATCAAAGAGCAATAGACATTTTTTGGTGTCATGAAGTAACCCGGAGTTATGTTGCAACAATTTGCAACTTAAGTCGTAGACAAATTCAAATTTACCGTCAAATAAACATTTAGTTTTAAATGGATTAAATTCACTTACAAAACTGTAGGTATTATAAAAGAGAGATATTTGAGTCCGAGAGTTTGAACGAGAGAAAAAAAGATTCGAGGAGTTAAGATGCTACGTACGGAATGCGAGAAATCCAGATATTTAAGAAGCGAACGATCTGCAAAACCAAAGAGCGATGAATTCATGTATATTTGTAAAATAATGCTTCGAAGCGAAGAGACTGGATTCAAAAAAAGGCATACACGTTGCATTAAATAGTAATAATATGCGATACGCGAGGTTCAGACAGACAGCTTCGATAGTCTCTTTAATCATAAAATATACATCATATCATTTTACTTATACAGTTTTGCGGAAAATATTTCTCTCGCATATCGTATCGTATAAATATATAAAACAAATATTTTAGAGAGAAATGCTTCCCAAGGACGACGTGAGTATATCGTCGCAAAGTGGAGTTCGATATCAGACAATGTGAATGTAAACGACTCTTGACGATCTGGATATTGCAAATTCAGATGAATATTTTAAGAAAGAAACGGTATATGGAACAATATATTGTAAAATAAAGTTTAAGTAACATTCCTTAATTGTTAAATATTTTTTTTAAATTAAAAATCTCTATTTAAATATGTAACATTATTTATTATATTGTTATATGTAATTTTCGGCTACAATATTAACATAGAAATATAAAATATAATATATATACTACTATTAGGTGTATAATATATAATATAATATATATGTATATACTACTTATATAATATTTATATTATATAAAATACTATAACTAAGTACATAGAAATTATAATATTACTTTTTTATGAGATATATGTTTTAATAACTTTATATATATTATAATCTTAGAATTATTTTGATTATACTCGATTTTGATTATATATTTAAAATACATATTGATTACATATTTAAAATATGATCAAAATAAAATTATTTTCATATATATATTTGCTTCAAAATTTCCATTCCGATTTTTTATATTTATCTTACTAATCTCTGCTCGGCATCTTTTGCAACCCCACAAAGTTCATGCAAAAGTGCAAAGTGTTACCTAGCGCAGTTTCCACTACAGCTTGCTGTCAGAGATTCTTTAAACCGAAAGAATAGTAATTTCCTTTACTGTCGAGTATTACCGTTATTCCGGTGGCAGGTCGCTACGGCAGTTATCCTTCCACTTTCTTGACTCTGGACTCTGGACCTGGTGAGTTTTTACTCGTCTATGAACGTAGGCGTTTAAGTCCCACGGGATGGACCACCATCGCGTCACAATGCTGAAGATAAAGGATCGCAAGCAGTTTCAGTCATCTTAAAAGAAGAAAAAGAGTATCGTAAAATAGCTGACGCAAAGTATCCATATTGTCCTTTCCCTCGTGAACAATTTAATTAAATCGATCGTTACGAAAAAAAGTTAATCTTTTTATAAACGAATCAAAAACTTCATTATTTTTTTCTTAGAAAAATAATATGTTGAGTTTGAAAATATGAAATATCTAGATTGAATAAATTGAATTGTATTCGCAATGTCTTCCAGGAAGAAAAGTAACTGACATTACGAAAATTACTTTTCTTAATTCTTAAAGGAATTCCTTTTTTTCTAACGCATGTCTTTTCTGTGATTGATTAGTTCTGTAGACATAACAATAATAAAACAGTAATAAAAAACAGTAATGAGAAACAGTAATAAAAAAGACATTTTTAAAATGCTGTAAATAAGCATTTTAGGCATTACTAAATAATTTAAAATATATCTGATAAGCAACCTTTTCTATAAGAAGGATTATATTATTTTTAACGAATAATTTATTTTCTCATCTGGTAGATATCTTTTCTATCAATGTTTTGCAAAAGATAAGAAATAAATTTATCGAGACTACAAAGCGCTCAACACTTTCCATCAATGTTTCGCAAAAGATAAGAAGTAAATTTATTGAGACTACAAAGCTGTTTAGATAATTTTCAATGAAATAAATCTACTTGAAATAATTTCTGTTTATTTTTGCAACTAAAAAGTTAACTTTTATTATATTATTTTACTCAAATCTAAGAAACAACTTTAACAATAAAAATTAATAAAAATAAGAAATTTATTCGCAATTTTACAATATGTATTGTAAATGCATTGAATATTATAATATTTAGTTTTTATATTAATATAATTTAAAAAATGTGCAATTTACACATCTCGAACTTATAACGTTTTTATAATGTCATCCCTGATTTTACAATTTTATAAAACATTATTAAAATTTTTACTTTCATATATTTCACTGTATAATATCGAAATATTATTGTAATATAATATTATAGTTTAAAAGCTGAGGATTGTTATCAAGAAATTAAAGCATAATTCTCTGTGAGAACTGTATTATTTTCAAATTGTACATCACGATTGGAAATTATAATAATAACATTTCGTTATACGTAAGAATTTTTGTACCTAATATTTCTATATTCTACATTTTTGAGGAAGGAGGATTATGTAATCCAGCTGATATTATGCGACATTATGTCTCCCGACTTTCTTGATCGAAACTTTTTTTTTGTAGACATAGACAGTTAAATCCTATGGGATAGTCGCGGCGCGCTGATACTCCATGGCGATCGTTGCAAGAATACAAGATTATAGCTCAAGAACAAAGCCGTTTCTTGGTGGGTGGAGGAATACCGTTACCGGCTTGATCTATCATAATGCCTGCACGCAGACACGCGGCGGCGGGACGAAAAGTAGGATCACGCAGACCATTACGGCCGTGGACACGGTCACTGACGTCGTCCACGACCAGGCGGTGCAGGTGGAGGCAACGCTGTTTTTGCCCGATGCACGCGACAGAATTGTAGTACCTGGAATTTCTTCCTTCCGGACGCCGGCATCGATCGAAGAGGTCAAACCGTTAACCTATCAGGATAATAGCAGAATTCTTGACTGCGTTGTTAAAATACAGAGATGTTATAGGTAATTGTGGATTTTACTACGAATAATTTATAATGCACGTATGTGTGCTAATTTGATATATTATAATAGCAGTGTGATTTAGTTTTGAGGATTATTTTCTCAAAAACTGATTTATTATACGAATATCTTAATGATCTTTATAAAAATATTTCCCTTCGTCCTCTAACTTTTTCTGGTAAGAGATAGAATCCGCGACGATAAAAAGATTCTTCTTTGGATTTGATCCAATTGTCTCAAATTTTCGCATTTCTTCGAAATTATGAAAGTGCGTATCCTTTAGACTCTAGACTCTCTAGAGCATGTTGCATTGATTTGAAACACGTGATAATCAGATGGAGCAATGTCTGGAGAATACGCAGGGTACGGTAAGACTTCCCATTTCAGCTCTAATAGCGTTTGCTTCACTAATAATGCAACATGAGATTGAAAATACTGTTTATAAAGCTCCATTTTTAAGATGATAAACACGATGTTACTGCGACTTACGATTTATTGCGATTATTGTTAATAAATGA